TCGTCCCGGAAGCCGGGATTTCTTTAAACTAACCAATGACAATCAAGGAACATGCGCGCCATAGAGATGACCACATCCTGTGTAACAAGACCCGACTTGCGCCTGGCCAATCGGCAGGTCCACAGTCAGCTCCCCTCCCCTCACTCCACCCCCCTATTAAAGGCCCTGATTTTCTCACGGGTGGCACTCTGCCTCCGATCGCTGCCGGAGGGCGGGGTCGAGTTAGCTAGCTCAATAAAGGACCTTCTGCTTTTGCATCGGACTGGCTCCCTGGTGTGGTTTTCTTGGGGATCTTGAAATCTGGGCATAACAGCAAGAACTATATCACACGGCCATCTCTAGCTTCAAAACAGTTTTTAGCCAGGCATCTTGCTGTCCTGAACAAAATCATCTTGGTTTTGCTCATAAAGACAAAGGAAACAATAGATACCGGAGGGCAGCAAGCAGTGTGCGTCTTTCCAGCTCTGCCGGCTGAAGTCATTTCTGTAGCAGCGCACACTGGGTCAAGCTTTAAAATCTCCCTCACCCCAGAACTACCTGAATGTGTAACTTGGAGGAGAGATTCACAGGTGGGAAGTATTTGAAAGTAGTCTTCAGCTTTGTAAGTTCAGAAACATAATTTTATCCATTTGTCCAAAATTAGATATATCTTAAAGGTCAGGCTAAGCAAACTCAGTGCGCTCCCTGATAAGCCAAGTTGCCAACTTTTTAGCCGAGGTCTCTCCAGCAGCATCAATAAGCCTGGACAGGCAGGCCGGGCTCCTCCCGGAGGGAAAGTGCAAACAACAAAGACTGGTCAGAGGTGGTTAGAGGCGACGGTGTGACACATCACACTGGTGAGGCGGATCACCCTTTCTACACTAGGACTGTGACTGACAGGAACAGGCAGGGGGCAGGACACTTACCGCTCACTCCCCGGGTATCACACAGCTGTTTTCACACTACCTACATTTCAGAGTGTTTGGGATGTTTTGTTTTGGTTTGGTTTGTTTTGGTTTGGTTTGGTTTTCCAGAGGCAAAACTGAAGTCCAGAGGGGCTGTCACTTACCCAAATAGCAGAGCTAGGATTCAATTCCACGTCTGCCTTCAACCCACAACTCCAGAAGCGGTCTGGCCTTTTAAATGGATTCAGCAGGTAGCCCTGGCCACGCCCGTCTCCTCCCACTGCAGCGTGCGGCCCTCACCACCCACCTGGCTCCCTTCCAGACAGAGAGCTGGGCTCAGTCCGCTTAACCTCACTTCCCTGGCCCCACTTCTTCTGAGCTTCTCATAGGCCCTGGCTTTTATGAACTCGTAGTTATTTAGATCAGTTAGAATACAGTTTATTCAGGTAGAGCTTTTTCATAGTTACATCCTAAAGCCTCCGGACTACGCGTCCAGCTCTTCTCAGTACCTCATGGACAAACCTTCCCTGGAGATGAAAGGCTTCTGACGTGACTACTCTCAAACCCTCGCATTGGCGTTGTTTCTGTAAGGAATGGCTTTTGGTAGACCTGTCCCCGGAGTGTCCTGACTACGGTAAATGCTGACCATGCTGACCAGCTAGTTAATCCTTGCAGAACAGAGTGTCGGATTTCACCATTTAGCATTAAGTTCCTCCGCAGAGAAACAATTTAGAAATTCATTTTTCAGTGCAGTCTTTAAAACTCATGGTCATGCTCATTTCAGACCTGGGATCTCCGTTAACGGTCAGCTCTACTGTGTGCAGTGCGATGATCTCTTCCCCACTGACTGTAATCCAGGGGTGGGGAACATCTGGCCCGCGGGCCGATAAGGCCCACAAAAATCACTTGGCCTGGCCCTGCCGCGGCATTAGGGATGAGTTCATTAAATGTTTGACCAAATCTCGCAGGCTAATTTTAAGTTGATAATTTGTATGGCCCTCGAATGATGTGGTAAACATCCAGATGCCCGTTGGCAGAGAAAAGGTTCCCCATGAGCAGGACCCCCCCTGCCTGGTTACTGCTGCTGTGCCCTGTGCCTGGGCACAACTTGGACCGGCTTCTCTACCCTTCTCGTTTGTAGGTGGGTAAATGGGGACCCCCCTGAGGGTCAGGCAGCCCTGGAGAATTAACAGCCCCGGCAAAGGTCTGCGGAGCTCTTTTCCATGTAAATACACCGGTGATACCTCATGGGGCTCTGTCTGTGCCACCACAAAGGCTTGTTCAATTGTTGTGAAACTACTGTAATAATCATGGGCATTATATTACCCCACGAGTTCTTTGGAATACTTACAAAATAAAATCGTAAAGATTTATCTCAGACAATACACTTTCTTACACACTTCAAAACTTACAAATGAGAATAGACAGGGGGAAAAATGGAACCAAATAGAATCCCCCCAAAAAAAAAGAACATTATATAGGAAGTTAGGTGATAAAGGAGGCACTTGAAATCAGAAAAGAAGAGTGAGTCAATATGTGATATTGGGACAATTAATCATGAAAAGATTCCATTCTTAACCATACCAGAACTGAGGCCCTGAACCTAACTGTCCCCTATCCCTGGGCTCCTGAGCATTAAAGAGAGAAAACCAACATGATATAGAAAAATGTTAGTTACATGCAAACAAGTGGTTAGAATAAGATGGAACTTGGAGACACTGTAGAAAATAGGTCTAGGCAAAGTACCGAAAATTAGGTACAGCGGTATAGCGGCAGATTCGGAAATTACCGAAAAATCGGTACAGCGGTCTGGTAGGGTTAAGACACATGGGATGGTGCCCAGCTGGCGTGGCTCAGTGGTTGAGCATCGACCTATGAACCAGGAGGT